ACAAATCTCATATCTAAACTTTCATATTTACAGACATAACAAACAAAATTTTAATGTCATATAAAAAATAGCATTGTTATCACTTTTTAAAAGTGAAATACACATTTTCCACATTTTCATCACATTTTCATGCATAGGTTTAAAGCAACAAAATATTGTTTATATAAAGGATGAAAGTTTAGGGGTGAGTTATGTGAATACATAAGAATTGTGTGCTGAGTATATAAATTTCCCAATAATTTATTGCATATTCATCAGAATAGGCAAAAAGGTTATAAATTCAGAATCAAGCTCCATAAGAGCTCATCCTTGACAAAATAAAAGTGGTCATCCGCCTCCCAAACTTCTGCTTGTGCCATGCATACAATTATATATGATGAGAACTCTAATTCCCTTAAGCGTAGATAGGCTTTATCCTCTCAACTTACTTCTATAAATATTATTTTAAATCCGCTGTAAACTTACTATCAGTATAAGAAAAATGCAATGATGATCACTAGAAATATAGAAGTTCCTATAAAAGTCTAATTTTACCATATATTTTACCAATTAAAATCTTTCAATATATGCAATGTATCATCAACTACTAATGTGCTAGAATACAAACCCTTTGAATGTCTCCATACTAACATCACAATTATCTCACCATGCAAACAGGATCAACTTTGCAAAAGTTTGATGCAAAAAAATGATGAGCAAGCAACCTTAAAAATTCATGAAATCATGTCATTAGTCTTAAAGAGGTTCGATGTGTGTGAATTATGTGATTTTATATTAATTGTATCACATTTATGCTTTTCAATGTTGTTTTTGTGTATATTTATTAGTTCCATGTCATAAGCTACCAAGGAAGAAGAATAATTGCCAAGTCCCCGTTAAGCGCCCCAATGCCATCCAAGCGCTTGAATGGCATTGGGGCGCTCAATGGATACTCAGCACCTATGTTGCTTCCTTGCTAGTAGGGTTTTCAAAACAGCTTGTTCTTCGCGGATAGTTCGTATTCAGCTCGTTAAGTATCTCGTGTTCGATTCGTTCGATAAGCAAAAGAGCCGAACATGAACAATTTTTTGAGCTCAATATATAAACAAGCCGAACACGAACAAAGATTTGTTCTTCTTCATTCGTGTTCTACTCGTTTTTGGCTTAAAATAATTATATAAATATATATAT